AGCCACCAATTGCTGAACTCCATGGCCATATCTGAGCATGGGACCAAGCAAACCCTCTGTGTGAGCAGTGAAGAGACGGGAGCCAGCCAGGCTGGTTGGGAATGCCAAGCAAGTGGTGGGAGAGGGGGCTGTTTCTCCTCTTCCTGCTCTCCTCTTCCCTTTGATTTCCTGGAAACTCTGAGTTGGGGAACAAATGAATTAGCCAGCAGTGGACAATATACCTCTGGAATCAGAGGCAAAGATCTAAGGTTATACATTCAAATTCTTTTACCTAATCCTCTTCCCTTACCAAGACCTCTTCATTAGTGTGCCATCCAGCATGGACGGAAACCTGTGCCTAAGCTAAGCATTCCCACTCACACAGCATCACTGCCTCTACAGGATGAAAGAACAAAACTGTCAGCCCAAAGAAAGGTGAAAAATGCCTCTCCAAAGGAAAAAGAAACGACAAAGTTGCTGTTCTGGTTCAATCAAGAGGACAGATTTAGTCAACTAAACATGCAAAGCACAAGGTGTTTGTAGAATTTAACCTATCCAGCCAACACAACCTCTCTTGTAACTTGCTGCCATGTTTCCTGGGTGTTTTAGTGACAAGCAGTCCAAGCAAAGCACAAACCCCATCATCTAATGAGACTCTTGACTTTGAAGTGGTGAGATACCACATTTTAAGTCCTGTGCAGGCATCCAAGACAAACACACTCTAGGCCATTCATGGCTGTTCCATGCAAGAAGCCTTGGACAAAACTGAAGGAATGACAGCTTAATGGCAACAAAAATAAATGAAATGCCCTTCTCCTACCCACAATGAGGTTGCTTCCCCAGCTCAAAGGCTCCCAGAAGGCCGCTGACAAATTCCCATTAGTCTTTCTGCAGGTTTCCAGATTTTCCTTCTGCTTTGGGCACCACATGAATAATATTCTCAGCAGTGCTCTCATTGAAGTCATGGAGCATTGAGCCACAGCTGAAGACTTAGCTTTGCTGTTTTTTGCACTTGAAGGGCAGTTACAAATAGCAGATCAGGTGCAATTGTACTGAAATGATAACATGGTCAGAGTGGCCAGCCTCTGTTTTCACCCACTAAAGATAACAGGCCTTACCTCAAAATAAATAACAAGTCAAAAAATAGCATCATAATTTTGCTACAAACACATGGAAGGGCTGCAGATTGGTTTGCTTATAGGCTGACATAGTAATGTTATAGTAATGTTCTCATCTATGGGGTTTCAGATATTATCTGAGGGCTGTTTCAAGGCTAACATCCTACAAACAAGTTTATTAAATTTTAGGCTAAATCCTGGGCAGTTCTTTTAATTCTTATAAATCTCAACACCTCTGTGCCAGATGATGAAAGCAATATCAGGCTCTTCATTTCTGTAAAGCACTCGCAGAGCCTCACACGAAAAACACTTTGCCAAACCAACTAACTTAAAGTCTTTGGCTTTAGGTAACTCTCATTCAGCAAAAAAACCCAAACAAACAAAACCAAAACAAAACACCAAAACCACAACCAAAACCAACAACCAAACAAACAACCCCAAACCCAAGCTAGTGGCTTCAGAGGCAGCTTTAGTGAATCAAGTGGTTGTCATCTTTCAGCAGTATTTTTAAGACAGCCAGCTCCTGAGGGACCCCAAATATGTGCAACTGACTTCAATTAGTTCTGCAGGATTCCAGCTTCTTCCAGGATTTAATCCATAGATAGAAGCACTAGGAATGGCTGTTTTTTCTAGGATGGCCTAATCCTCATCTTGAGTATGTGAATATGTTAACATTAAAAATCCCCACTTAAACAGGATCCTGCATGCCTGAATCCCCACAGACCTGGCAGCATTCCATGCCATAACTGAAGCCTCCTCTGATTTTAGGCATGTACAGCTGGGAAGAAGAGATGCCCTTTCTTTTTCATCACTGCAGCACCTCAGAGCAGTTTATTTCAGTGCAAACAGACCACTTCCCTTTTTATTTTTAACCTTCAAAGAGCAGTACATGTTGCTATGCCTTGAAACAAAACTAGAATTTAAGAAAGCCCCCAGCACATCACACGGTACAGCCCATCCAGGACTTGTGCAGTGTTTGGTATGAAGCCAGTGGATATTCAGTGGAAAAAGGCTCAGTGTCCAAAGCAGCATGTGGAGGATTCAGCAAGCAGCTCTCATTAGTGCCAACAGGAGCCTGGCTACTAAACCTTCACACCTTTTTAGAGATGTTTCCTCTGTCTTTTTTATGAATCTACTCCAGAGCTGGAACCAAGCAGACAGAAGTTTTAGCTGAGGAAAAAGCAGCCTTAGCCATTAGGAAGCTGGCCCTGTTCCAGAACAGAGAGCATCTGGCCACCAGCTGTGTTTAGAGGACAGCAGGCCTAAGGAATAGATCAGGGAAAAATCAGAGAAACAAGCAGACAGTGCTGAAATGTGTAATGAAAGGAATGCCAGCCTTCCCCTGTGATGTCCAAAACCTTTGCCCTCCTACATTCCCCATCCTTTTGTCTTCCTAGCTCTTGAGCCAATTATTGGAAAATCAACTATTCAGGACAACACAGATACCACTTCTGGGCTTGGGAAGGAATCCAGCAGGGCTCTAGAGTAAAAAAAACTGGGAAGCGTGGGAACTGGCAGCACGTGAAGCAAAGTGGGAATGTGAGGAAATTCTGGAAACGAAGGGACAACCGTGAAGGGATATAAGGAAAGATCTGCCAGGAGGCAAGGACAGGATGCATGTAAATCCTCAAATATTACAGCAGTGGTTTAGTATAAAAATGACAGATGGAAAGGCAACTTCACTCATTAGAGGCAGGAAAATTATGATTAAAAGAGAAAATCTTAAGTTTTTCTAACGATGTTGTATGTTTTTCCATTTTACCAAAAGTGGAAGCAATATTTGGCCTCAAAACTTGTAAATTATTGCGACTCATACAAAGACGAAAAGAAGAGAAAGCTTTTTATTTTCTAAGATGATAACACCATGTCTGAAAAAAATGCTAATAAAATGCTCTGTTGGAAAGAGCCTTATCTGATAGGGATGGTATTCATGGGTACCCACTGAAACTCACACTGCTTTTTAGATTAAATTGACAAGAGCCCTTCCCCCCAGCCCCAGATTAATGGAATGAAGAATCCATGCATGAAGCCACATATAATAAAGGTTGGAGATTACGAAACAGGCTAGAAGACACAATCAGAATTGCAATTGATCTTGATGAAGTGGGGAAATTGCCCTGATTAGAGCAGAACAAATTTAATAAGGAGAAATTGAAAGTGTTATACTTTGAAAGGTGTAGTAAACAAATGCATAAATAAAGATGGAACTCCTGGGAAGGCAGCAGTGAATCCCTCAGGAATTATAAAACAGACTAGATCAAAGTCAGCCATGGGATGTTCTTGCAGAAAATATCTGGGGATATATTTTCTGACATGCTTTACATAAACCACCGCAACAGCTTCTCTGCTTTGCTTGCTACTGTATAAACTCCTGCTGGAGTATGGAAATTTGGGGAAAATAGGAAGCCATGAGGGAAATGACAGCAAAATCAGAAAACACGAACAAAGGAACTAGGAAAGACTATACTAGTGATGCAAGGAGGATAATTCCTTTCATACACAGAATAACTTTGTAAAAAGATCTTGTAAGATCATCTGCTTTTCCTGTCACTCAGGACTCGAAGGAAAAGTGGCTTGATTTGCAATGAAGAAATTCTGAAGTCTCTAAGGAAAACCTTCTGATTATGAGAGCGGTGAAGATCATGGATCCCTGTGACTGGATTTTTGAAGAGCTTGCAAACTGCACATTGTCTGGCATGGCTCAGCTGGACTTCACCCAGCCTCACATCAGGAGAGGCAGACTAAAATCACCATCTCCAAACTCTGGTTTGTGGATCCACAAAGGTTTGCTGGCTGCTTCCAGGAGAAATGAATGCTTAGTTTACACAGGCTGGCTTTTCTGCTGGCAAAAGTCCTGGGGATGACTGGGCAAAAAATAATTGAAAGTTAGGACTCTTTTTTCTTAAGGTTTCCTTCAACTATTCATCTGTGATGTTTGGATTACCAACATTTCCAAGAGCAAAAGTTATTCCTGTATAAATCCTTAGCTGCAGTGCCTTCCTTTATTGGTTCAGGGTGCCCAAACAGGTGAGCACCCCATGTACAGCCACCAAAGGCCCTGTTAACCCTTTTATTGATGAAAGAAATCTAGTGAACTTTACCACAGACACCCTCAACTCAGAAGAAGGACTAGCATGGAGTTACCAGTGTTTCCCTCCCATTTAATACAATTGTTATTTTTTTAAAAACTTTGCTGCATTAAAACATGAGGCTGCAGGGTGAGGCCTGCTCTTGGCCAGTTGTTTTTGTCATACAAGGCTGGATTTCCATGGATGAGAAGGCACACCAAGCAACAATAAGCACCTCTGTGTGTTACTGTTGTATTAACTATGGTCTTGCTTCTCCATGATCACAACATTTACTCAGAAGTAGCCATTACTTTCAAGTTCCAGACAACATCTTGTGTGAACATCTACTATGCAGAAAACAAGATCTAACTGACTGACATGCAGTGTCTCTGCAACATTAGTGGCAGTTTAGACATTTTGTCATTTGTTGCAGAAAGTGTAGAGGCTTTAGAAGACCAAGCACAAGGGATGATTTATACCTCAGAGTCATAAAACAGCTTCCTACTGTGTTGATAGCTAAAAACTGTGTTCTCTGAGCACATCAAAAGCTGGAACATGGAAGGGCACCTGATGTAGATGCTTCAACAAAAGAAAAAGAGGTTAACATGCAAACTTCTAAACTTCTTAGAATGGCACGCTAAAAATAAATATATTAATGTCATTTTGCCATGGAGAAGGCAACATCTTTGCCTGCTTCTTACTGTGGTTTTCAGAGAGGGCATCCAGAATGCTGTGGCACATGGCAGATTTGTCTTGCTAACAATATGCTGCAAAATAAACAAAGCTGACATCTGAGATTTAAACCACACCCCCCCCCCCCCACCCTACCCAAGCCCTGCATTGTAGATTACCTATACATTCTCAGGATACAGTGAGAAATCATTCTACAGTACATATTTAATTATAATTTTAAAAAGTCTAACTCAGACACAATCTCTGGCCAGTAGCAAAATATCCACACATCACTAAATTAAAGATCTGTTGTTATCTCTTCACTGCAACAAACAGAAATCAGCATCTCGAGAAGGAGCTCCAGGGGTATCATATTGCAGCCAATCACACCAGATAAAAAAATAAGCTAATTTCACAAATGAAGTTTGACAAGAAGTAACATTGCATTTGTCTTGGCAAAACGAAGTACGAACAGAACATTTCACAGGTACAGTTGCCATGCAAAGGCATGTTTGTTGAGTTTGTAATTGATTTCAACCCCAAATAACAAGTAGCATGCAGTTCTCCTGCCCCCACCAACTACTGTATTAGAGACAGTCTGGGTAATGTGCCTCTTTGGTGTAACCATAGCCTCTTAGGCAAGATTATACCACCCTAGGAAAGAATACAAGCAAAACTTGATCATATGTGTGTTTACACAATGTACATTTTACCATTTAAAAAAACCAAAACATGTTACATAGATTCTCAAACACAGCTCTGTTGAAAATGAAATTTTAAGCTTAAGAAATAGGTTTTAAACTACAAGGCCGCCCCATTATTTTTTATGAACAGTTTAAAAAGTTCCCACCCCTAAAAATCTTCCAGTATATTTCCTCAACTATAACAGTCTTACCCACTCTCTAATACAGCTGATCTTTGCTGGACAGCAATAACAGCTCTTATATTTCTTAAATGCACAAGATAATGGACTCTGGGATAGATATAGTTCTTAACTGTATAACACTGGAACAAATCTGACTTAAATGATTAATTGGTCAATTCAGGTGTTCCCCAGCACTACCCTTCAGGCAGGGACTTCTGCTGCTCACTGATGTGAGTTCTGGCTTTTGTTGGCATCAAGCTCCATGAACAGGCTTGTGTTCAGAATGTGAGTACAAGGGCAATTCACTGGATACTCTGGTACCCAGCTTGCTCAAAACCAAGGAGGAACTTTGTTTTCTGTATTCTCTCATCCAGGTGGGGACACAGCCCCAGCGCAGCACCTTTGGCTGAAACAGAACTGTTGGGATGCGACGTAGAATTTTTTACATTTTCTTTTTTTGTAGTCATTTAAGCAACTGCAACAGGTTTGAGCAACTGCAACAGAAGACTTAACTTGCAGGGTCTTTGATTAGAGGGTTATCATCTTCCTCAGCTTTACACAACGGAGCCCTTTGAAGAAGACAAATGAATTGACTGAATCCTTGTGGCCAACGTCCTCTGTAAGTCCTCTAGCACATTCTGACCAGATGTTTCTCCATTCTTGTCATACAACAACTGTTTGAAAGCTTCGTTTTCAATGAGGACCATCATGTTCTTTAGAAAGTAGCCTTCACAATAGGCAGATAGTTCTGTGACGCCGAGGAACTACGAGAAGTGAAATTAGAGAAAGATAACCATTCTGCTAAAACCCAGGCAGCAAATACAGTGCATAAGAGCTGCACACAAACAAATACTCAAGCTAAGCCTTTTAGACAGGCACAGTCTAAAATGTGCTTACTTACAGATATAAATGCATGGAGAGGAAGGAGTTAATAAAACAGTGTTTTATGCTGATGATTCTCATAATAATTCCATGTTAAAAGACCCTGGCTACTGGGGAAACAAAATTCCACAGGCTGAAGCTTTGCTCCCTTGGAAACTGATGGAAGTTTTACCACAGAGTTTACCAGACCCATGATTTCATGCTAGAAGTTACAGCCTAAAATTACAGGTTTGGGCAAACCCAAACATTACAGACCATGTTTCAAGAATGGTGTCCTTAGCAAGGATGGGACAAATGACTGCAGAAAGCAGTCATGCAAAATTTCATGCTTTGAGAAGAAATGGAAATAATCAGCCATTGAAAAAAATCTCCCCAGGGCAAAGATGGACTTCCCAGCATTGGACACTTTAAGATTCAGCTGGGCAGGGTGCAGGGCCATCTTGTCTAGACTGTATTTTTGCAAAGAAAAGTTGGACCAGATGATCCTTGAAGTACCTTCCAAGCTGGTATTCCACAATTCTACAATAGCAATTTTAAAAATGGAATGCCCATAGGCATATTAATGATATCAGTACTCTCCAGTCAGCATTTATTTGTAAAGATGACCAAATTCACATTACAGAATCACAGAATATGCTGAGTTGGAAGGGACCCACAAGGATCACTGAGTCCAACTCCTGGGCCTGCACGGGACCATCCACCAAACTGTATCTGTCTCTCAGTCTTGATGACAAAGGCTGTGCTCCACTTGTCTCTGGGCCAACCTGCTCACACATCCCCCTCTGGAAAGGTCAGGGAGGTCCTGCACGTGCACATGAGCTTGCAAAGCAGCAAGGTCAAGAAAGGTGTCCCTGACCATGGCTCTAACTAGATAATCTTTAAGGGTCCCTTCCAACCCAATTAATTCCAGCAGTCAAAGATTCAGGCACAGCCAGGTTGGCTGTTGCTGCAGTGCCCAACTCACAGCACTGCCAACATGACTCTGGCTGTAAAATCCACCCAGGTACCCCATTTCCACTGCTTCCACTGGGAGGTCAGGCACAAATAACTTGCAGGCTGGGGCTCTTACAGGCAAACCAGGAACTGGATTTAGCCACTGGGTTTGTTAAGTCCCAGCATGTAAGAATTTTCTTCAATGAGGATGTAAATAACAGCCTCATTTCACAATTCAAAGAAAACATGATTTTAAAGCAAAATTATTTGTTTTGCTGACAGCAATACAAATTGAGAAGTTCACATATGAGCTACAAGACAAATCAAATATTTTTCAAATGATTCTTGCACTGTAACTTTTTTCCTCTTACAATAAATGGACCTATAGATATACCTCATTGCATATTTTTATAGGTGGATCTTTGTGCTTTGTGCTATTTCAAACACTGATTGCATGTTATCTGTCCACGAAGACCCAGCATTACTATTCTCTGTAGGAAATACCTGATGATGGGAATGGAGGTCAGATCTCCAGGGGTTTGGAGCAATCTGCAGGATTACTCTGTTCAATCAAACCGCCATGTCACAATGCATCAATTTTATCTTTTGTATAGACCATGCAAGTTAGAGAAAAAATCTCCTAAGAAATGCTTGAAGAATATTTCACTGCACTTATTTGTGTACCATTTCCATCTTCCAAGTGAAAATCTAACTACTCCACATGAGGAGGGAAAAAACTGAAACTAATCAATGTGGTAACCACCTCCACCAATGCGTGAAAATAGGTTTTCTAGGACAAGAAATGCCATGTTTTTGTGTCTAATGACTTAGGCAACCTCACAAGCTAAGTATATAATTTGATTCCAATAAGAAACTCTCCAAGACATAAAATTCTCATTATTATCCTTGCAGGGCTCTGAGCCCTTGCACTTTCACAACATGGCATTTTTATATATCGATAAGGTGTCACCAGCATTGAGTGTATCACCCCACTGGGCTTCAGGCACGAAGAAACAGGTAATGGAAATGGGAAAATGCATCTTGGAAGGTGAAAGCAGAGATGCCTACTTCACTTAGTGATTCCTGTAAAATCACCAGTTTGTGCTGCCATGAATAAGGGATAGATCTCCCACATAGTGGTACAGCTGAGAAGCTGCCACCTTGGACTTAGACTAACTAATTTTGGATTGTCCCTATACCAGGTACCAATTAATCAGTCAGTCCCAGTAAATGAATGACAAATCTTAAATGTGCAACAAATGTACTAAGCACACACACAAACAAATGTACTAAGCACACACACACATATATAAATATAACTACTTATTACAAAACTGACCTACAAGAATGACAGCAGACATACAACATGCAAGCATATGCAGTTATTTTTACCTTGGCATGATTATAAATATCCACACAGTTTTCTGTATTAATGCTTTTTGCACAAATGATCTCACAGTGTCGTTGTAAAGCTTCAAGCTGGAAAAATTTAGCAGCAGAGAGAAGCTAAAAAAAAAACAAAAGGCATGGAAAAAATAGTCAAAAACTGCTGAGTGATACAGAATCAGAGCTTGCTTCTTTACTGTTTCATTATACTTTTTTCTCTGCCCCTTCTCCAGTTACCATGAAAGTACTGACAAAAAGTCAGAATGAGAAGATTGCTTGGTTGTTTTAACCCTCTGCAGTCTCTTCTAAATCACACAATGGGAATTTATACACAGAGAGACCACCAAAGGCTGCTCAGGTCCACATGCTGACTTTGGAATGGGACAAGGAGAAAAAGGAAACAGCGCTTTGAAGAATATTTTGTCACTTTGCAAACTTGACTGCAATAAAAGACCTGCAAATACATCCCCAAAACCAAAGTTCTGGTTCAACTGTTCCCCAAGATCTTATTGAAACAGAGCACCTGGGCTGGATGTGAGGAAGTCAGCAGAAACGTCAGGATCAAGTGTACAGAGGAATGAATTCAAACCAAATGATGATGACCGTCCTGGGCAGTTTTAATCTAGAGAGACAATAAACTTCAAGTCTGCCACCTCAGCAGGCTCAAGGGAGTGGAATCAGATCTCCATATGCTCCTTGTCCTAGCTTGTGAGCAGCTGTCAGGGGATGTCCAGGCCAGGAGCACTCAAACACTGTCTGAGGCCCACGTTATTCCAAGGAACGAGTGCACAGGGGTGGGAACCAGCTTTGTGAGGCAATGCCTAGCCAGCATCTGTGTGAGTGTCATGTGTCTGTCACTGTTCCACCACAGCGCTTCTGATACCAGCACTGACCCCCCTCTTTGGGCCTGCACCTCCCCTGTGGCTACACTGCCTACCCTGGCACTGCCTTGGCATCTCTGCATGCCTATGGGGTGAAAATGCCTTGAATTCTGAATTCTTCAAGTGATTTCAGAAGTGTTAATATTTCCCCTATTGCCCTTTTTCTGTTCTTTTACAGGAAAATCATTTAATTTTCTGGCTTTCCATGGTAGGTCATAGTCTCTGGCTCTCTGCTCTGCCTTAGAAAGCAGGTTGGAGCTCTTCATTGCTTGACACCTTGCTGTAACCCAGCCAGACCTTAGATCAAGCTGTTCACGTGTTTAAATAGCACTTACTCAGCTATTCAGGCTTTTACACAGCCCTTATTATTTGGGACTCATAACAAAAAGCTAACCTCTGCATCCCAAAGGGGCTCTCATGCTGCACTGGGGAACAAACAAACCCTGAAACTTCCATGACATTATTCTGACTTCTCCTGTGCAGTCTGCTCAAGATCTATTTTAATCCCATAAATAAATCCAAGTGCTGGAAATCAGCAGTGCTGATGTGATAGCAGCCAGCTGGCCCCAATTATGAATTGCAGCAAAGATTTCTGTGGAGTATTTCTGGTGCTTCTTGTTATCATATGTGTAATAAGGCAAGTTACTAAATGCAGTTTTGAAAGATAAAGCCAAATCCTATTCCAGCTGCCTCTGTGGCTCAAGCAGTCATGTGCTGGTTTGTAATTACTTTAAACTGTGAGGAACCATGGCCAGATCTGTTATCAAGAGATCAATCAATCAGTCATACATTCTGGAATCTCAGAAGTTTTGAGATGTCACAAAAGTAGAGCAAGCTGCCAGCTGAAATGCAGCACAAGCTTTACAACAGCCTAGGTGATAACACACACATCTCTATAAAGCCACTGCACTGCCTAGTCTAAAATTCCCTATTTCAGAAAAGGTTTGAAATTCAGGAAATCTTTCAAAACTCTGAGAGAAACAGAGAATTAGGGAACTTTTCCTATACAGCTCAGGAAAATGATGTGGATCTGCTCACTTAAAAATACACTGCCTGCACTAGAGAGGGGTAATTTCAGTCCTCTGGCTGCCAGACTGTAGAGTCATAGGGACAGAACAATACAGGCAACAGCAACAGGACACAAGGAAAAGGAAAGTAGCTGCACGAGGGGAAGTGCAGATTGGCTCTCCCCTGAGAGGGTGGTCAGGCACTGAACAGGTTCCCCAGGGAAGTGCTCATGGCCAGAGCTCATAGCACATCTGCACAACACTCTGAGTGATGTGGTTTAGATTTACATAGCCCTGCAAGGAGCAGGGAGTTGGACTTGATGGTGCTTTATGGGTCTCTTCCAACTTGAGATATTCTGTGATCCTGGTGGCAGACAGTGATGATTACCAGCTGTTTAAGTAGCTCTGAGTGCAAGTATTTACTGACCTGCACTCTTTTTGGCTGCCTGAAAACTCCCTGAATGACTATCAAGAATTTGCTCAATATATCTTAGTTCTGTATAGTTGGAGTGGTTTTGCTGATCATAGCTGGCAATGATGGCACACAGTATTCAGAAGAGGACTTTGAGAGTCACATGTTTGAAATTGAACTGAACTGTGTCTCCAGTGGACTTCTCTCATGGTTAAAGCCCAGCACATGTCCAAGACCTCTCCCATGTGACAAACCAAATTGGATGTTTTTAATGCTGCTGAGATAGGGAGGATGGAACACGAAGTCCTTGGAAATTGGTTCCAGATTTTGGTAACACCAGCTTTGCCTCTAAGTAGGTATTTGCAAAGTCTCCCAGTCTCCTGCAGGACTACAGAGAGCCTGGGCACTCCAGGTGAGGCACTGCTGGCTCTTACAGGAGTGCTCATGTCTTGCCCAATGGCCATGTGCCCTCAGGTGAATGGCACACAGATCAGTCAGCATCCCACTGCAATTAAATAAATGTCTCTTACCTCCATAATTTCATTGTTTTTAATCAGGAGTGACTCTGCACCACCATAATAAAGATACTGCATAACCAGCTGTAATAAAACAAAGGGAGTGTTTATAAAAACGAATTCAAGACATAGAAGAATAGGGGACAATGCAGGCAATTCCCAAGGCTCTCCTAACACCACCACGGATTTGTAGATAAAAATGGCTCAAGCCTCCTAATTTCAAAGATATACTTGGTTATTCTCTCACTCTGCAAAGTTCAGTGTTTCCTTCTCACAGGTAGTTTAATGTTGAGACATTGTCTCAACCCTCACCCTCAAACTGTCTGGATTTCCTGGTAAGTTCGAAACAGTTTGCAGGAAACTGATTAACTCATTTTGAATTTTCAGCATATTTCCCAGTCTGTTACGCACATCACTGATTCAGGCAAACACAGCATATACAATGTGATTCCCTTACCCCTTCCCTGGCAAAGGCCACCTTCATCCAGCTGTGTGTGGGCATGCATAGAAGATAAGAAAGAGGAGGAGGCTTTGCACTGAAATACAAGCCAGCTAAGATCCCTCTGTGGGGAGCCCAGCTATTGTGGGCAGCTGGGATTTATGTGCAGCAGCAGCAGTCGATACATGGAGCTGCCTGAGCTCCAGCTCAAAGCAAGGGAAGCACATCCATGCTACAGGTACAGAGAGCAAGCTCTGCCATTTCATGGCACTAAATTGATTGGAGAGCACTGCTAAGGAAGGGAATGAAGTGTGTCTCTTCCAAACCTGTCCATTAAACACAGAAAGAGCCAACTACAGAAATGCCTTATGCTGACAGGCAGTGCTTTGTGTGCACAGCCCATGTCAGTGAAATGCCTGTTGCTGTATCTGCTGAGGCACATTTGTAATCAATAGAACTCTGCAGTGCTTGAACAGAGATGAAGCCTGTGCTTGTGAAACCACTGCTCTGTTTATCAAATACATAGGTACTAATTTGGACAGGGCATGCGTGGTGTTCCTCTTACAAGTTCCATTCAAATTCAGCGTGGGGACTGTACCTGAAAGATGGGGTACTTCACATAGTTGATCTCAATACAAGTACTATCAGATGAGGGCTTGCTAGACAGCAATGCTTTAAACCTAAATAAAAAGGAGCAAAACTGAAATACCAGCCCAATTATCTCTGTAGAAAAATGCAGTAAAAACAGTACAGAAGTGCAATGGAATGACAGCATCAGTTCTTGCAAAAACCGTATACTGAAATGAACCTTTTTGTCACCAAAAAGCATCCAGATTTAGACACTAACATAAAGTTCAAACCAAAAGAAGCTTCTCTCTGTAAGATTTCAATTAGAAACTTCTGAAAAATACACATAATATAAAATAGATTAAAATGTACATCTGAAACTCAGATGCTGTAATGACACATATTACAGAACCAATTTTTTTTATCTTGAAGGCAACATGATCTTATACGAAGATCTGCAATGTTTAAAACCTGAATGTTTTCCTTTTTTGAGGGTGATAGATTTTGGCTTATGTCCATTACGCTGGTTTAAAAAATCTTTTGGAACAAAATAAAAAAAAGACATTGAGACTTTTAATGCTCCTATGCAATAATTGTGTGAGAAGAGGCATGAGAGAAACTGGATAGGTTACTGTTCTCTGATTATCGTAACCTGAAATTCAGACACAAGTTTCAGGACAAAGACCTCACATATTTTTAGTTAATTATTGCAAACTTATGTGAGATATATACATTTGTAACAATCTACTTCTCAAACCCAAGTATTCCCATTGATCAGAAGGTGAAAATGGGAAATGTGCTGCCAGAAACACCTGCCCTTGTACTTTCTCTCTTTATTAATTCATCTGACCTTCCAGCAGTAGTTCAGAGCTCAGCTTATCTATCAAGACCAGCATTTGCTGGATGGTAACCTTTCCCTCATCATGGCTGCATCTTGTTAATTAAAATACAGATAACAATTTACTTGCTTTCACTAGTGTCAAACTCTATTATGAACACAATTTAGTAAGCTTAAAGCTGGAGTTTGGAATGTATTTGTACATTACCAAGAAGCTCTAAACACCAATATCCATTTCTTAGTTGAAGGCACGGTCAGCTACTGCAGTTACTTCATTCAAATCTCTCTACTCTGTGATGTGGGTTGGCAGCACAAGTAGCATCAATTCCCATATTGCTTAAATCATCCAAACTCAGAGCTCTGTCCTTCTCACATCTCAAAATAAGCTGTTTTGAAGAGCCAGCAAGATTTGCTCAAAAGCACACCTTGAATTATACAGCTGCACACAAATATATAATGTTTGTGAGCAACTCTTGGGTTGGGTTAAGCTGGGAAACTCACATTCTGCCTTCTGAGCACAGGAAACCAACTATAAATACTGCCTTTGGATACAGTATGGTATGTTTCACAGCTATTTAATTCCATTTAAAAGTTGTTGAATGCTGTCAAGAATTGTGCGATAGTAGCTTGTTTTTCCTTGAGACTGCTGAAACTGATGCAAGGCAGGATTTAACCACTCACAAGAATTTACCACTCATTAAATTATTAATAATCAAAGTACCATGCCTCCTGTATGGTCGAGAACTGGGTGCAGTAATGAGCACCATGCCAATGTGCCTCAGTGCAACGAAGTCAGATACATGGCCAGAAGCATGGATCATTCACTGGATGAAAATCTATTGACAGGAGCACTTGTTAAATATCTGGCAGATCAACCAGAAACAAGCTGTGGGGATGTTCTGATTAAGAAAAACTTGAAGACTGGGCCACTAGCCTTTAAAGAACTGGGACAGCAAAACTAACAAACAAACCTCACAAACCCATAAATCAAATTCTATTTTTGTTAAAAACCAGAGATGTGTCTCTATTTTACCTTGGCGATGCAGTAAATAGCAACACTCGATGTGCATAAAATGGTCTTCCTTCCACCAGAAATGTGACATCTGACATCTCTTTATTGTTAAGAAAATGGGGATCTAGAATCACAAAAAGAAGGAAACAAAAAAGTCAATAACTTTAATTTGGAAGAGGTCTGGAACATACTGAATATTTCCCTGTTTTGACAAAAGAAAGCAATAGAATAGAAGGATATTGTTTTTAGTGAGTAAAGCCCATAAAGCTATTTTGGACAGCCTGAGACAACCACACTGAGTTCAGACAAAGGGAATTCAAAGCTCTGAAGTCCGTGACGACCTTTGCTGAAACAACAGCCAGCCATCCCTGCCGTGTGACACTGGCACAGCCTCCAGCTCTGCTACCAGAGCAAACTGCAGCTCAGCAGATGCTGGGGGGCCCTCTGCTCATTTATACTCTATTAGGCCACTCCCTGTGTGAGGAAGTTTTGTCAAGGGAAAGAGGGTCCCGGAAAATCAATTGGCTCTTCTCACAGTCCCATGAAAACACCCTGGGCTCTGCTGACCAAGCTGGGAGGGCTGTGCTGGTGCAGCATCACCTACAGCCAGCCAGGGTGGTTTGAGATCCCGACAGACACCTTGCTCCAGGGCCAAGGCTTGGATTCCAGCCTAATCAGCAACACAGACGAATCTTTGCAGATTTACAGCCCCACTCCAGTGCACCTGATGACCCTCCTGATGTCAATGGGAGTTTTAGGCCACGTTAAGTTTGGGGCCCTTCCTTCCTCTAATTCTGTCCTTCAAATTTTCTGACTTTGAGATTTTCCTGACTTGCGCCCTGCTCAGGCACCTGGTCAGCAGCAGACTTCCCACAGCTCTGCCTGGAGAGCTGGTGAGGATCTGGCAGTGACACTTACCCAGGCGGGAGGTCTGCTTGCGCTTAATCTCCACCAGCTTTGGAATTGGGTAGGGTCCATAGCAATGAGTGAAAATGACAGAGAGCTGCTGGCTGATCACCTCGTTCTATACAAAAGAAAACAAATGCATGCAACGTAAGATCAGTATGCAAAGGACATGTTATGTTGCTCTCAACAGCTGCCTGTTTTAAGGTGAAAAGTGTGACTGCTGAACCTTTATTAAAATAAGAGCTTACAATTATTAGCATTTGTTAGAAACTGCAGTCCTCATTTACTTGATTGCAATGTCTCCTGTACAAATAATTTTAAATGAAGAAGTCTTCTCCTTGGATGACAAGTCTTCTTTGCCTACAAAATGCCATAGCCCAGTCCCCTCTGCAAAAACAAAGTTCCTTTACAACAGTGAGTTCATTTTATTTGCAGACTTACTGTACTGGAAAATGATTTTTTTTTTGCTCTTTAGAAAATGGTCACTGGTCACGTCTTAGAAAACCCGAGCTACAGGCAGATGCAGCTGCACAGCCTGCAAACATTTTGAAGTGCAGTAGTCTCACACACAGACACTTCCTCTACAGAGTGACTGAGGCACCAGAGCCAGCCACTCATTTAATCCCAAATGTTTCTTTATGGGCTCTTACACCTCTGGCACCAGTGTGGGCACCACTGTGCTGTGGAAGCCAGACCCTCGTGGAACCAGGTCTGATCCCTGGCCTTTACCCTTTTCTGCCCCAACTTTGGGGGCAAGGCACCCATAGGATGCTTTCCTAAGCGCCTTGAATATTTGTATGCCTAAGATGCAAGGGTAGTGAAATGTATTTAATGCTTAACTACCTAAGTCCCAGATGAAAGCAGGATTTAAAAGCTTTGGCAAATTTTATCCCACACTTTGCTGATAACCAGAGCAAGTCTAGACAAGTTCAGCAGTGCCACACTGCTAATTCATGGTGACATCTTTTAACTACCCTGTTGGCTGGTGAGTCTCTCCACACCATGAAACTGTGAAATGGCAAGACACTTAGACATAAGAGGGTCAAAGACCAAGGAAATAAGCAGGTGAGGGGCAAAAAAAAATCATAGTATAAAAATTTGAGGAATATAGTTGTTATATTAAAAATATCTCCAGGCTTTAGAAGCAGAAATGGAAGCTTTCCTTGCTCTGAGCACATTTCAGAAGTCCTCCTTAAATCCCATGAGTGACAAGGAGGAGTGGCAGAGATGCTGTAATGACTCTCCAACTGAATCTAATCAAACAGGGTGGGAAGGGGTAGAGCTGTTCCCTCACAGGCACATGCTGATGTCAAAGGAAATTACACACACTCGCCGCAGGCAGGAGTTGGCTTCTATTACTACGTCAGATGTAGCACTGAAAGAAACTCTGAGATAAGAGAAACTCTCATACTGAGAGACACCATTCAGCAGGCACAGGGCCCAGCCCTCAGAAAGGGGCTCACTGCTGTGGCTCCAAGACAAGGAGGGCGTCTCACCCCAGGAGCATCTCACTGTTCTGCATCCTCCTGTGGGAGCTCTGCAAAGCGCCTCACAAAGGGAGTGAATCACAAGCTAAAGAGAAAAGGAAGATGTAAGGCCAGATTTCAAGAAGGAAGTGACTCAGCTGCTGGGAGGGTTGGGAGGGGAAGCTTTTAGACAGGGCAGAAAGAGCAATTTCTTCTCTGCTCAGAAGGGCTGTGCCAAAGCACCAGGGCCGACTGAGTCAGGCAGGGAGGAGTGTGTCCGGAGGGATGCTGATTACCAGCAGGGCAGCTCCCAGCTGGATCTGGCAGATGCTAGAAGTCAGATAATACAACAGAAGATGGGGACAATTCCATGGTTAGAGTGGAGGGAAGCTTCTGCAGAGGAGAAACAATGCTCACCTTTACCTGCAATGAATAAAAGCAAAGTGCACTGAAGAGGAGAGCTCCTGGCAGCCCCCTCCCTAATCTGCTGGGGTGCACAGATCCTGTGTCACTTTGGTTTTCCTGGGTTCCATGAACTCACCACTCCCAGCCACAGCTGTGCCCATGCAATAGCTTCTTAAAAACACACACATGCATCAATAAAGACAATGAATCCCCTCCTTCCAGAGTGTCTGTGGGAATGTGCTGATGGAAAATCTGGGTATTGGCTTTGCAGTGCCTCGTTAGGAGCTGGAGGCCCAACTCACCAGACCAAACCACAGCACCAGGGACCAGGACATCCAGCTGCACTGAGACCAGGGAAGGACAGGCCAAACTCAGCCACCCAAGTGGGAGAAGGAGAAGTCCAGCTAGTAAGTCCAGCCAACATAAAGAACCAGTCATGCCTGCAGACAATCCCATGGGAGCCTGCCTACATGGGCAAGGGGCTGCCAGCTCCCTGGGTCACCAGCTCTGTGGTGTGCAGATACAAGCCCATTACAAAACCTCTTTGCCCACAAGCCCATGAAAAAAGTGGTGTAAACTAAGCTCTAATTAGCTCAAAACGTGATACATCCACATGAGAGATGCTTAAAAACCCCAAGACATGGAACTGAGATGGGACAAAGAGAAAAGAGACCTTAGGATGGACACATCAAAGAAAGAGGGCCGTCAGACAAGACAGTGGCTTCAGACTTCCCATGCAGAACACTGACCTCATTTGGCAGAGAGGAGGCTGGAGATCTTTGGTTTCTACTGGTAACATTAAATACATCTCATACCATCCAAAAGCCAAAAAATGTGCTCAGCAAGAGCTGAAGCATGTGCTTATTTAGAGTCATTGCTAACAAACAGCAGCAAGGGAGGGGATTGGTAAATTATTACAGCACACCAAGTTTTCTCCCCACACCCCCAGCATGTAACCAAGCTCACAGGACTGTGGCACAGAATGTGCTCCCCACAGTGCCTCTGCTGACTTTTACCAATAAACCAGGCAGAAATAGGAGAGGGAAAAGGAATACTTCATCTGTAGCTGGATGGTTGGAGAAAAATTGGCTTTTTTGAGCCAAATCCTGCTCTTGGAGGACTTGGGCTGCCTGTGAAGTGTCTGGGAACAACTGAGAAGTCCATGACCTGGGGCACAAGCATTCCCCTGGAACAGGACACGTTCAGCCTATTCAACCTTCACCTTCACACAGTGCCCACCACTCAGGTACCCACACTGAGATGCTCAGAAGCTCCCATTTAAGCACCAAGATGGATAATTCTTCCCTGTTTATCCTTTCATCCTATCAACCTAACTGTGAGAGCCCAGCTGTAAGAGCTCACTGCAGCAGTTGTGGGCAGCAAGATTAACACTGGAGGAGCAAACCAAAGTTTGTTTTCTTGCTAGAGTTTGATGTTGGAACACATTGTGCCAGGATGTGTGAGGCTGGCACCTGGAGAGAGGCCAGCCTCCCTTCAGACACGGGCGTTCTTCTGCGCTCCAAGGGAGCCGACGCACATCTCCTGTGGGAGGGGGAAGAATGCTTGGCACAGGACATAATAAAAATATTTACCTAGCCACAGGGTAGTTTACAGATAGGGAAGAGGGAACAGGGAACAACAACAGCGAGTCTTCTGAGGGAGATGGTGCTTCCAGCAGAGAGCTGGTTGGTGAGCAAGCAACTTTGCTTTGTAGATATAAGCAGTCCCCTGACTTAAAAGCATTCTTCAGCAGAGATCTAAAGGAATTCCCCAGTCCTGCTGAATGCACTTGAACTGTGAGGGGAATTTATAAATTCTTTTGAAGCAAAGCTGGAGGCTTTCAAGTTGTTGGACCAGAGATGCCTTGTTGATTGATCTGAGAAGAGGTGAAGACCTGGGTGGGAAGGGCAGGGATGTTTTTTCTCAGTGTCCATCTGACAAGGGTCTGTGGCAGGATTCAGGGAAGTCTCCTCCAGGCTTCAGCACATACCTGGCAGAGCTTCCTCCATTCCAGGTTACACAGATCAATGCAGCATAGCCATTCTCAGATGTGTTCCTACAAGGTATTGGACACAATGGGAAATACACAGCCAATATTCTCCAGTGCCTGTGCAAGACACGTGTCTATGCCCCAAATTCTGCAGGGTGAAATGTGTGTGGCAGACTGCTCAAATCCCACTGCTTAGTTCTTACCAGCCTACAGACACCCCACCACCTCCACATGGCTGCCCTGAAGGGTAACTTCTTGTTAACAAGTCAGACTTCTTTCCTTTACCTCTGAAATCCCAAGCAATGTTTTGGCGTTTTCTTCTCCTGATGCTACATTCACCAGCACAGCTCCATTAATGCTGTTTTAACCTAAATCTGCCAGGCCCTCAAATTCCTCTACCAAACAGCCCAAAAACCAAAAGCTCAACACATGAAGGCAGAAAAAGTAACACTTATTCTTCTGGGCTTGGTGTCTGCCTATTAATACTCAACTCCTCAGCAAGCTGAGAAACCACACTGCTCAGAGAACAGGGCACTGGCAAAAGTATCTTCTCTCTCTGGTCCTGAGGATGCTTGGGGGACCCATTTCTCTGCTAAATGCAGAGTGGCAGAAGTGCTGTTTCCAGTCAGACATCTCACATGCAGTTCCCAGCAGCCGTAGTCTCAGGATACCCCGAGCCCATTGATGACTTATCCATGACATGCTGGGATACCCTCGAATGAGTCCTCTGTTCATGCTCCCCATTCCCAGAAAAAGATGATAAAGAATGAAGTAACAGAGAGGACTTCTTGCTGTCCCCCATTCCTGAACACTCAAACTCTGAGACCTTCTTTTCCATCTCAAAACTGTCTCCACCCTTGCACAGGTGATCCCACTACCATCCTCTTGCATAATTCATGCTCAGCAAATGCCTCAAAACTAAATAAATGCCACTTCAGATGGTCACTCCTAGATGGTTAAGCAGCATACACAGAATTAATATTAGTCAAACAGCTGGAAAGGGAGGGAAGCCCCAGAGGCTGGAGCTACAGTTAGAAGCAGTAAACTACACAACAAAATGGGTTTTGTTAGTGCTGGGCTCAAGCCTCTCCACTGCAAGCACAAACGGAAAAGAACTAATCACAGGTAAGGCAGAAATGGACTCTTCCATTGCTTCTGGGAAAGCTGCCAAGCCTCCTTTTCAAAAGGCTCTTTATATGCCAGCTGTGCATTGTATGTAAAAAGCTCAGAACCACGGGCACAGTCTAATCCCTGGGT